AGAGCACAAAAAATCTATTGTTATGCAATTACAAATTCTTAAACCAGATGATTATAGATTTGATTCTTCTGAAGTATTTGAAGGATTAAAAGTCCAAAGTATAGGAGTGATTAATAAGTTATTGGAGAACTCTGGAATGAAAATTACTGATAAATGTAAAGGGGGTACAGTTGTACATAGAGCTATTAGAGATGGACTAGATATAGATTTTGGTAGAGCTTTGATAAGTTATAATAAAGCTGATCCGTTACTCACGGATGATAGTGATCATACTCCAGTACAAATGATTATAGCTGAGGGTAGCTTTCATACTATAAAAGGACTAGACTGGGTTAAGGCTTTATATGAATGTGGCGGTAATAGTCAAGATGATAAAGAGGTTGCTGATAGTTCATGGAGTGCGATAGCAGTGTGTTTTGATAACAGTACTTTTAACCATGATCAAGCTGTGCAATTACTTGCGGCAGAAGCTCCTTATGTTGATGGTTTGTATGCATAATATGCCACTGAATTCGATGTAACGTGTTGCATCGAATTCATGTTATTTTATGTTAAAAAATTTAGGTGAACATTTTTCATAGGTTTAATAGCTTCGATTGTGCTTTTTCAAGTTTATTAAAATAAATTAATTTTTGATGTTGGTATAGATTAAAAAATATTAACAATCTTAGTTGACATATAAAAATTTTTTTGTTATATTCCTCTAAACCGTTGGAAGCGGTTTTTTGTCAATATAAGAGGTATAATATGTTAGTAGAAAAAAAGCTTGTTTATGTACGAACCTGGTCGGAGAGTGATTGGAAAACTATGGCTACAACTTTTTCGGAATTCGCTTATTCTAAGAAATTTGAAGGAGACGCGGAGCGCGAAACCGCAAGCAGTACTGCCAATGCATGTGAAGATTCGGATCTAAGTCTATTATCCAAATTACCAGCAGAAGTAGAATTCTCGAATGGATCTAATGCTAAATTAGAGCAATCAAGTTCTTATGAAGAGGGCTCGACATGGGAAATGGTATCAAGTTCCGATTGTTCTGATGAAGATTTGATATGGGAGATGGTACCAGGCAGTAATGAGTTTGTGTCAGAGATCTCAGGGAATTGCTTAGGGGAATCATCGATAAGTGAGTCTTGGGAACTATGCTGAAATAATTTGCGACTCTTCAGAAACTCTACTTCTGTTGGAATTTATACGTCGCGCACCTAGGCTCGAATTCGTAACGAAGTCTATGCGCGCCGCAGATCTAGACTTCCCGTATCTCTTATAAATTTCTCAACATTAAAGTAAAGTTTCCGAAGAAGTCTAATGAACTTCGTTCATATATGCATAATTTTTGAAAATTTATAAAAATTACCCTTGTACAACATCTGATACTTATTCTTCGGCAAAATTTGTATCTTCCTGCTTTATTCCTTCACCCAATTCATATCTAATAAATTGTGTAATCTTTATTTGTGTCTCTAGTTCTTTAGCTGCGTTGTTAATTATTTGGGTAACTGTTAATTTATCGTCAAATAAAAAATTTTGCTCTAACAGTACTGTCTCTGATAAAAATTTACGGATCCTACCTTCAACCATTTTTTCAATAATATCATCAGGTTTACCAGAAGCTTTTGATTGTTCCGCAAATATATTTTTCTCTCGTTCAATTAATTTTCGATCTAAGCTTGCTGCGTCAATACTATAAGGATTAGTAGCGGCAATATGGGTAGCAATTTTTTGACCTAACTCTAGGAGCTTGGCTTTATCTTTACTCGCTGATTGTAAACCAACAAGGACAGAAATCTTACCAAGACCATCTGTTACAATATTATGGACATAAGATGCTACTACTCCTTCTGAGACATGCAAAACATCCATGCGACGTAGATTTAGATTCTCACCAATTGTTGCAATATTATCCAATATTTCTTCGTCAACGGATCTACCTGCTGGAGTTTTGGCTGATTTTAATGATGCTAAATCATTATGTTGTAAAGCTAATTCAGCAATGGTTTTAACTAGTTGTTGGAACTTGTCATTTCTTGCGACGAAATCTGTTTCAGAATTTACTTCTATAATAGCGCCAACATTATCTTTAATATTTATGGCAGTTAATCCTTCTACTGCTACTCTATCTGCTTTTTTCGCTGCTGCTGATAATCCTTTTTTTCTTAACCAATCAATAGCTGCTTCAAAATTTTCCTCTGTTTCGACCAGTGCTTTTTTGCAGTCCATCATACCTGCGCTAGTTTTTTCTCTTAATTTTT